TCAAATTCAGATCAAAGAAATATCTTCCCACTTGGTTTCTGAGCATTCTTGATTCTATCATAAAGTCAAGAGGGCTCTGATTCTTCAGTAGTTAAGGCTGACTCCTCTTATGCCAGGGGAATGTTGGAAAAGAGCTTCTTGGAACTGGAGGGAACCTGGTTCCCACACAAAGTATCCCAAGAGCCCTCAAGGCTGTGGAAGAGTTCAGACATAGGGTTCCCAGAAAAACTAGGTAGCACTTTGTACTGGGTCAGGCTGAGCCGGAATTGGTTTTCCCCTATAGCAGCCCTCACGGTGCTGTGTTTTATGCTGGGAGCTGGCAGGGTGTTGGTAGCACCCTGGTGTTGTGGCTACTGCTGAGCAGTGCTTACACAGCACCAAGGCTCCTTCCGACATTCCCCCCCCCAGTGGGACGGGGTGGGCAAGATCTTGGGAGGGGACACAACCAGGACAGCTGACCCGAACCGACCAAAGGGATATTCCATACCTTCCTGAGAAGGCCCGACACCGCCTCTTCATGGGAAGACGAGAATAAATGTTTTCTTTTTTTTGCTTCCATGCGTGGACCTTTGCTTCGCTTTGCTTATATTAGAACTGCTTTTCTTTTACCCACAAGGGTTGCTCTGTCTTATTTTCTTTCACCTCTTTGCCCCATTGAGAAAAGGGGAAAGGGGGGGAAGTGATAGAGCAACTTGGTGGGTATCTGGCATTTAGCCAAGGCCAAACCACCACAGTCTTTTTTGGTGCCCAACGTGGGGCAAGACACAACAGCAGTTTTATATTAAGTGTGCTGCAGCTATAGCAGTTATTAAGCAACAAGCTCTTGTGCTGGTCACGGGTTTGTTGATTGCGCTGCTCATCGATATTTTGCTAAGCTCGGGAACATGATGCAAGGAACTGGGAACATCATGAGTGGTTTTATTCTGCAGGCTCCCGAGGTACTTATTCATCCTTATGTCAGCTCCTTATACTGTTCATTAATGCAGTTCGCCTATTGTGGGATGTGTGGAGCTCAGTATGTTTTTGCTGTAAGAGAAGGCAAATTTTGGGTGAGAAATTACCAAAACGTGCCCTGAGTGGCCTGTCCCTGGGTGGCAGGGGGAGCGGAAGGAATTGGGCAGATTCCTAGGATGATTATCACCTCCTGTATCCTGGGATCTTACCCCTCAACAGGCAAGCAACCCCACAAAATTGAGACACCACCTGATAGAAGGGTGCCTTGCCTATCCCAGTGAAAACCAGCAACTTCTAGCACTGTACTGGGGCCTGGCCTATGCTTATCGAGCTGCAGTTCAGCACTCTCAAAGGGCTGTGGCTGAGATGGGAACTCAAACAACAACAATAGCAGAGATTGCCCCAGTAGTAAAAAAGAAACAGTGGGCAAGGAGAACAACAGGCCCATACCCTCAATTAATAAGGGAGGAGAAAAAAGAGGAAGAAGCTGCTCCTTCAGCAAAGGAATCGGAAGAGGGAATAACAGAACTGACACAGGAGGCGGAAACTACCCCGTCCCTGACGTCATCAGAACTGCGACATCTGCAGAAAGACTCCAGCCGCCAGCTGGGTGAGCGGATCGCTGCCTGGCTGCTGCGATGCTGGCATAATGGGGCTGATGCTCAACAGCTGGAAGGTAAGGAAGCCCAACAGCTGGGTTCCCTTGCTAGAAATCGAGGAATTGAAAGGGGAATTGGAAAAGAGACAGCAATTTGTGGTCTGTGGAGACAGCTCCTTTCAAATGTTAGAGCAAGATATCCTTTCAAGGAAGATTTTACGGACAACTCACCAAGGAAGTGGACTACTGCAGATGAAGGTGTCTGGAGAATTAACAGTGCTGGAAGTCATCTACGGTGATCCAGATAATGATGAAGCCCTGAAAAACCCAGAGGATGTCCTGTGCACACGGGCCATGTGGAGGAAGGTGATTAAAGGTGCGCCACCCTCATATTCTGCCGACTTGGCTGTGATGTACTACCCAGAAATGGATACGGGAGAAGATGTACACCAGCTGTGGAGGCAGTCTCTTCCTGGCTTCAGAACTTTGAAGAGAATCTTGGTACCTCCTCATCTCTACGGGCGAGTGCCCTGGATGTCCCAAGAAATCAGTTCTCTTCTGCCCCAGTCAGGGGGAAAGGGAAACCCAAGCGCGTGCACGTAGCGAACATTGGTTCTTCCTGCGTGACCAGGGGGAGGACATGAGGAAGTGGGATGGTCAACCTACCTTTAAGTTGGAAGCTTGTGTACATGAATTGTGAGGAAAGACCCCTGCCAAGAAGAAGGTATCCAAGAAGTTTGTTAATGTAGCTGGTCTCCCAGATACAGGAGGACTGAGATCACCTCCCTTGACACTGTTGAAGGAATCTCCAGCCTGGCACGGCAAGGGTCAGACAGTGAATACTCCGACCAAGAATGGGAATAGAGGGGTCCTGCCTCCAGCCAGCAGGAGGAAAGGGATGATCGGGTGTATTGGACAGTGTGGATTCAATGGCCTGGCACATCAAATCCACAGAAGTACCAGGATTTAATCAACACCGGGGCACAATGTACATTAATGCCATCAAGTTATAGAGGGGCAGAACCTATCTGGATCTCAGGAGTGACAGGGGGATGTCAACAACTGTCAGTACTGGAGGCTGAGGTTAGCTTGACCAGGACAAGTGGGAAAAACATCCCATTGTAACTGGCCAAGAAGCCCCTTGTATCTTGGGCACTGATTATCTCAAGAGGGGATACTTCAAAGACCCAAAAGGATACCAATGGGCCTTTGGTGTGGCCCGGGTGAACACAGAGAAGTTAAAAGAGTTGTCTAATCTGCCTGGCCTCTCAGAAGATCCTTTTGTTGTGGGACTGTTGCGAGTTGAAGAACAACAGGTGCCAATTGCTATGAGGACCGTGTACTGACAGCAGTATCGCACCAACCAAGACTCTCTGGCTTCCATCCAAGAACTGATTTGTCATCTGGGGAGCCAAGGTATCATCAATAAGACACATTCGCCTTTTAATACCCCAATATGACCGGTGCAAAAGTCTGATCGAAGGTGGAGGTTAACAGTAGACTACTGTGGCCTGAACAAAGTGATGCCACCACTGAGTGCTTCTGCACCAGATGTGTTAGAGCTCCAGTATGAACTGGAGTCAAAGGCAGCCAAGTGGTACACCACAATCAATACTGGCCATCATTCTTTTCAATTCCTTTGGCAGAAGAGTGCAGCCCACAGTTTGCTTTGTGGAGGGGCATCCAGTATACCTGGAATCAACTGCCCCAGGGGTGCAAGCACAGCCCCACTATTTGTCATGGTCTAATTCAAACTGCACTGGAAAAGGCTGAACATCTACATTACGTTAATGACATTATTGTGTGGGGCAATGAGGCAGAAGAAGTGTTCAAGAAAGGACAAAGAGTAACTGAGATTCTTCTGGGAGATGGGTTTGCCATAAAGAAAAGAAAGGTCAAGGGACCAGCACAAGAGATTCAGTTCTTGGGACTAAAATGGCAAGATGGACACCGTCACGTGCCTATGGATGTTGTCAACAAGATAGCAACTCTGTCTCCACCAACCAAAAAGAAGGAAACACAAGCTTTCCTAGGACTTGTGGGAATTTGGGGATGCATATTCAAGATTACAGTTGGTTTGTGAGCGCTCTCTATCAAGTGACACAAAAGAAGACCAATTGGCTTTGGCAGAGCAGAGGTAAACCCATCTGGGCTGCTGCACTGTGGCAGGACATCGCTGCACAAGCAGAAAATGTGGCTCTAAAGGTACGTCATGTAGATGTTCATGTGCCTAAAAGCTGTGCCACCGAAGAACATCAAGAACAATGAGCAAGCAGACAAAGATGAAGTAGTCAAAATTGAAGTAGCTCGGCTGGGCCTGGACTGGGAGCGCAAGGGTGAGCTGTTTGTAGCTCGATGGGCCCATGAAACATCAGGGCATCTTGGCAGAGATGCAATGTACAGATGGGATCATGATCAAGGGGTGGGTGGACCTGACCATGGAGGCCATCTCACAGGTCACTCATGAAGGTGAAACATGTGCTGCAATCAAGCGAGCCACACGAGTAAAATCTCCCTGGAACAGAGGGAAATGGCTGAGTTTTCGATATGGAGGGGCCCGGCAAATTAACGACATTGGACCACTGCCACGAATACGCCAAGGCAAGCGCTACATACTCACCATGGTGGAAACAACTACTGGTTGTCTTGAAAAGTACCCTGTAAATCATGCCACTGCCTGAAATACCATCTTAGGTCTTGAAAGGCAAATTTTATGGTGACATGGTACTCCTGAAAGAATCGAATCAGACAACAGGACCCATTTTTGAAACAATCCTATAAACTTCTGGGCAAACAAACACAGCATTGAGTGGTTGTATGAAATGCTGGGGTCAACCCCGAACCCCAAATTAAGGTTGACATATGGGTGATTCCCACAGCCCTTCACAAAGGGGGGGTGAGTTTACCTTTAGGCTTCCCTCCAGGGTGCGGCCAGTCATGCAGGGAGAGCCATTGGGTAAATGAGCCCCAGGTGTCTGCATTAAGTAAACAAGGGTCAGGTGTCCCACTTAGGGGTAAAAGCTGGGACTCCTTGCAGGAAGGGCAGTGTCTGTCTGTGAGGTGGATGTGCTTTGCATTTTTTGCTGTTGGGGAAGGGCCTCCTGTCTCCCTGGGACTGGGCTCCTGTCAGGTCTGGCCTTTGTAAATGCAGGCTCTGTAGAGAGTCAGTGTGGTCTTATGTGTTTGGCTTGTTGACTCGGTTGTCTCCTGTCCATTCTATGGGAGACTGCATTTCACCATTTATTCCACCCGTTGTTGGTTGTGCGGTGTTGTTATTGGGGTCAGTGGGGTTAATGTCAATTATGTATAATCTGACTGACTTGTTTGTACCCCAGTGGTCACCCATGTACTGACCCTTTTATATCAAATACAATTTTGTTATTGGTTCATCTTTATGCTGGCTGTGTTCTTTATGCTAGGCCTAATAATTGGCAAAACAAAATTGGCGATGAGGATGGCCCTGTCTGAAGTTCCTGGTTGGGAAGATCCTGTCTATAGTTCACTGGCCTTCAAATGGATTAAATTTGGCGGACCATGTGAACAGTGGGAGAAGCAGTTGGTGGAGGCTGAACTGCAGGATGTATTAGAAAATATTCAAAAATTCTCTAATAAGGCACAGGATGCTGTAACCTTCGGGAGATGGGGATGGATCCTTTTCACAGCATATGAGAAACAGCACCAGCAAAAAGATCACTTACTGGCTGAATGTTCCCGTATGCAAGCTCAGATTATGACATTAGAGTCTGCAAATAAGCTCCTTACTGATAAACTAGACACTTCTCAAACTGTACCTGAGAAGGATACAGTACAAGTTGCCCGGTGTAAAGGTGGGAAGAGATGGGGATAATGTAGTCATAAGAAGGTCCACTCAGATGTTATACAGGTGGATGTACACCATAACCCTGATGACTTGGGTGATGATATCTGATACCCTGCGGAGTCTGATGGGGCTGGTGCCTCAGATGACTCTGCAGATGTGAGACCAGTCATCAGAAGGAAGGTGGAATTTTCTGAGGGTGAGCCACCAGTAAACAGACCTACCATGGAAGGTTTCACACAGCAAGAAATCAGTGATATTCTTGCACGGTTCAGTCAGAGACCAGGAGAGCCCCTGCTTGCTTGGATGGTACGTTTATATGATCAAGGAGCATCAGGGGTTAGCCTGGATAATTTTGACTGCAGAAAGCTTGTAACTCTGAGTTCAGACCCTCTGGTGCCGGAAGTGTTTCGGCCTAATGATGACAGTATTAATCTTTTGGCTTCAGTTGCTGTGGGGTGCAAGGCAAAATACCCACTAGAGAATTCCTGGCCAGGTTCAGACCGGCCATGGTATATTCTGCGGGATGGTATACAGTGATTGAAGGAAGAAGGAATGAAACTGGCCATTCATGTAGTCTGTGTTGATGCAACTTCGATTGTCTGTGTCTATAAGAAATGCAATCGCTAGAACTGCTCTACCGACTTATAAGAAAGTTCTTGTGACTCTCTTACTGAGTGAAATAGGAAATCCCATTAGATATGTACTTGAGAAAATGATTCAGCTAGGTGACCTTGGGGAATGGACTCCCCGGGAGTGTCAGGGTTATTGAGAACTCCAACGTCAGCGGGGCCCCTGGGAGTATACACGGAATAGACACCCGACGCAGTAAAAATACCGGACGTCGGCTGTCTCGAGGACAATTGCCTAAAGCTTTATTGAAAGATGGCATACCTCTCGCTAAAATTGATGGTCTTGACACCATTGGAGGTTGTATAAACTGAGAGGGTTACAGAAACCCAAAAGAAAAGTGCAGAATTATCAAGCACACTGGTCAGAAACTCTTCAGCCTACAGCACCCACTCTGGATCCTCAACGGGATCCCGCCTTTGTTCACAGTGGTCCCTCTGGGAGCAGTTCAGTTGTTCTGGGGAAGAACCACGAATGGCAGCAGTATTCTGACCTGTACCCCTCAAGAGACAGTAGGTACTGTAATCCATACTGAAATACTGGTCAAGCTCTGGTACATTGGGCGCAGGAGGACTGACGTCCCCATGTGGAGCTACAAATATTCTGGAAAAACCAATCCTCTCAAATAGTGAAGGCTCTAGTAGATACTGGAGCGAAGGTCTCCTTGATTTATGGAAATCTGAAAAAATTTAAAGGTCAGTCTGTGATTATTACAGGACTGGGTGGAAAACAAATTGAAGCTGTACAAACCCAAATTGATATGAAAATTGGAAATCTTCCAAAACGACAGTATATAGTCATGATTGTTCCGATCCCAGAGTATATAATCGGAATAGATATCCTTAAGGGACTTATTTTGAATCTTCTTGATGGTCATGATCAGTTTGGGGTAAAGAGTTATATCACTAACTGAGCAGTTTTAGTAGGGAAGATAAAGATGCCTCCGGTTCAGATCCCAACAGCGACCAAGGTAGTAATCATGAAAGAGTACAGGATTCCAGGTGGTCATGAATAAATTTCCCAAACAATCAAAGATTTACTGGATGCAGGGGTTTTAAAACTACTACAATGTGGAATAGTCCAATCTGGCCAGTCAAAAAGGCTGATGGATCCTGGAGAATGACTGTGTGTAGGGAGAGGCGCTTGGAAGACCTTGTGATGTACGGGAAGAATAGGGAACCAATCAATCATGCCAAAGAAGAATGTTACCAAAACACAGCCATGCTTAAGGTGGATCCCTTTAAGGAGCTTATATAAAGCAATTGAGCAGCTAGTAAGTTGAACAAGCAGCAACCATCGTATTGGTGTCTGTGCTTTTGTTCCCGCAAAGGTTTTAACCTCCTGCAAGGGTTAGCTGTGATCTGAGTGCCACATTTCTGTGGCTTGGCAGGTAGAAAAAGACAGCTAATGCCTTACCACAACAAATGGTGACCCCGACGTGAGGGCAGCGGTGATTTCGGTGTGCGGACCGGTGGCGGTCGGCGGCACACGGCAGGAGGTGACGGAGCTCCACGCAGGATGGGAGACTCCACGGCACGCCATGGAAGCCACGATCAAGGTATTTAAAATAAGGGGAAGACAGCATAAGACTTGCATGCAGTCGAGCGCTTTAAAAGTGATGATACAAAGATTATTAAAGCTCGGCATTCTGGCCGAGCCGATGGGTTGCATGAAGTCAGAGCTCTGGCCTCTAATAAAAGCTGATTTAACAGAGCAGGAAAATTAGGAAAACCAGAGCACTTGGTGACTTGGGATAAGGCAAATGCATGGATGAAAGCCACCCAAGCCGAACAGCATGCATCTAAGGATGCACATAGGGGACTGCAACGTTTCTCAGAGGAGAGTACTCGGACGGAGGAGTCCGCGGGGTCCAGCACCGGTCGGGGCGCGCAGTATGGAGATGGCAACGGCGGCCCGGGGCCCCCCGAGACCCCCCGGCGCGGAGCCGCCGCCTGCGGCTGAGCCCGGCACTGCGCCCTCGGCACCGCGCCCCCCCCGCCAAAAGCGGCAGGGTTATGCAGCACAGGCGTTAGATGTTCTTAACGGAGTCTTCGTATTTGTCCTATTCGCCATTTCATGCTGTGTCGGTGATGAGTGTGGCGGGCGCCTCTGTGTGCCTGTGTGACTGTGGGTGTGTGTGAGACGCGGCCCGCGGCAGCTGCGGAGCTCTCCGGCCAGGGAAGGGCGGCGAGGAACGACAGGGTCCTAGTGCCCGCCCGCTGGGTCGGCCGTGCCGTGGCTTGCTGGGGCTCAGTCTTCTCAGGGTTACATGCACAATACCTCCTCCAGCAGGAGGCAGGAATTCTGTGTTGATTGTTGTCTTGAATTTAGGTGCATACTCTGCGGGGAGAGTGCACCTCTGAACCATCTGCCTAATGGAAATATCGTCAAAAGATCATCTACAATCTTACA